ATGTATAAATTACAACTAGAAATTGACGGAAATCATAATTTTTTAAGTTATAGTGTTACATAGTTGACGATTTTTGGTGTTTTACTCATTCGTACAATGCAATATTATGTTATCGGGCGTTTGGAACTTTTCTGTTTTACTAAACAACTTTTTTTTTTTTTAACGTACCTATCTAGTTAAGCACGCTACCATAAAAACTAATGATTTCCGGAAATAACTACTGCACCATCGTTTTAAAATGGTTCTAATAGGTGTCTGAAGAAAAATATTGATAAATTCACGTTTGAGTTAAACTAAATTTATAAGGCTAAATGTATCAAATATTTTGTTTAAAAAGAAAAAAATCAAACCACATCCACAATTATTCCTAAGCACGCTTTCGGTCAACCGTTTGAGAAACAATTGGAATAATTAAAAGTAATCTAGGACTGATCAAGCCGCTTGTAATTTATTATTATACATTTTTGGTTTAAAAAATTGTAATCTGGGAGGGTGGACTTCGGAAAATCAAATTACGTACCTAATCCAGGTTTTCTCTTCGGCACTATTTTTGCCACAATTGCTGTAGCATATAATGATAACGGCTCATATACTCAGTTTTTCAATAACAGTGAAAACACATTTATTTATTTGGTATACTGTTCCGTTATCCCGACGGCCAGTCAAGTACCGCGACTCCTCAATTCCGTCATCTTTACTATCGCCCCCATACTATAATACCAGCCAGACTGCATAGTTTCCAGTAACTACATGGTTAACTGCGGTTACCTTGTGACCAACCTGAGGTGGTGTTGCACGGCAAGTCGAGGGATATTTTAGTTCTTTTTGTCGGAGCGCGGCGCAGTGAGCGATCGGCCAAGTGAATTTAAGTTCTCGATAGTAAGCTTTTCTCTTGAAAAAAATTAACTTCCAATATGGTGATTTTCTGACTCTGTCTAACACACGCGCAACATAGTATTTTAGACGTGTTTTTCGCCAAACATACCAATTATTGATCTAATGAAGCGATAAAAATTCTGAAAACAGATTTGAATTCGTTGTCCGGTCTGTTCGAAAGCGGCATTCCCACATTTTTGATATTATCCCCAAAATTTCAGAAAACGTCATATTGCTAAAAAAAGAGTATTTAAGCATTTTTGTATTTACATTTTTGGATAAGCTAAAATCAAAATTGTGGGAAAGTCGATTGCAAGAAGACTTGATGACAAATTAAAATCTGTTTTGTAGAATTCTCATCGCTTAATTAAGCCTTAATTAGATCAATCGGTATTTTTTGCAAAAAATTCATCTAAAATCCTATCTGTTTGACAAAAACAGAAAATCACGGTATGGAATCCCCTTAAAGTGATGCCCACCTGGCCACTCCCTCCCTGCGGTGCGCACGGACAAAAAGGAACGAAAACATCCCTCGACTTGCTATACAACACCACCCCAAGTTGGTCACTGGGTAATCGTAGTTAATCTTGTCGTTACGGGGAACTATAAAGGCCAGCTGGTATAGTATCGGGGTGGTAGTCAACATAACGGAAAAGTACGGTTTATTTTTGTAATTTTTAATAGATTTGGAAATGCATATCAAATCAATATTGTAGAACAGTATAACTATTAATTCTTTCATTTGTATATTTTTATTGTTTGATTCAAGGAGCGCTGGGATTGATGTAATGAATTTTCTTACAACATTGAAATCGATATTATAATTAAAATAAAGAGTACGAAACAATAATATTCTATGGGGGTTTTAAATGGAATATATTGCCCCTGAAAATGGGTTTATTAATCAACAAAAATATCGTACCGAGTTCTCACTTAATTATGTAAGTGTACAAAAATTAAAAAACAATATCGATTTCGATTAGATGTTTGGTATTTGAAAATTGGGTTATAAAGTGTTGTTAGGGCGCAGCCACATGGTATTTTCGCCGTCGAGTTCAACAGGTTTGACCAACACGGTTTTTACGTTACCATCTAAACAACAAACTGTTTTTAAATCTACTGAGTCATAGTACACAATGGACTCTATAATACCATGTTTAGTATCGCTCAGTCGGTTTAAGAACAGGTGTTTAGACGGCAACATAAAAACCGCGGTGGTAAAACCGTTCGGACTCGACGTCGAAAATACTTCGTTGTGGCCGGGCCCTTAGCAAAATTAGTTTTAAAATTCTTATTTGTATAAAATGTGTGTACAATTATTGTTTTAAAAAAATTTAGATAAAACTAAAAACTAATTATCATGTAAAAATGTGACTAAAAATTCAAAAAAATATTTAAAAAAAAAAACGAAAAATCTGTTTTACTATTATTGATAAACTGAATATACCAACGGTTACCACTTTATGTGACAACAATTATGACAAAAATAGTGTCAATCTCTCACAACCAATTTTTATGTATTATTCTAATTTGTACCCCCCCCCCTCGGTTTTTATTTTGCAATGATTTTCCATTCGGCGGTAGTACAGTTTTCTTATGGAATTCGTACTACAACTCTTCAATTACTTGATCGATGTCTTGACAATGTATACCTACTCATAGTTTATATCTTATTCTTCTTATCATTATTTTTCTTTTTGTTCAAACTGTAGTTTTAGTTCGATGTTCAAGTTCACTCAATTTTCTTCGTATCTCTTTTTATCCAGCGCCACGGTCGTGGCGCGAGCTAAGTAAAAAAAATAAAAGCGGCGGCACGACAGTGTATATTATCTCGAAGCAGGAGTTTCCCATTAAAACCGTGTAAATTTCGGTGTTTTTTGTCAGATGAGATAATTAATTATCTACTGAATCAATTTATACCTAGTAAATTGCAAAACATGAGGAAAATCATGCAGATGATCCTTTTGTAAAAATCATAAAATCGTACAGTTAGAAATTAAGTTATTAAAGGAAACGTGAAACATTTTTAATGAAAAATTATATTGAAATCTGGATTCACGGCGGCCGCTTCTCGCGTTGTCGTGCCGACCGGCCCCCACTCGCAGTCTCCTCTCGCGGTCTCCCACTACGGCCTTACACTATTACGTGTATTATCTATGGCTACGTCGCATTTCATTATTACTACTTCATGTAATCACAGGGGCGTCATTTGAGGGGGGTCCGGGTGTGCGGTAGCACCCCTTAATTTTAAAATGGTTCCAATTGGCCTGCGCCCCGCTGAAGCCTAAAATAATGCACGAGCCACGAATGCACAATTATTAATATGATTAAAATTAAATTGTATTTTAATTTTTATATTGACAACTAATGAAAGATTATCAGAACCAACCAATAACTTGTTTAAGTTATTTGAAATTTTTGACCTTTCTAGTCCCAATTTTTTTAATCCAGATAGCCTTTATTTAAAACTATTTATAAACCATTATAGTTATTTTAACTTTAATGAAATTCAAATTTCTTCTGAGTTTCCACCAGTAAAAGCACTATTTAATGAGAAACATGATGTTGATTTGGAAACCATAGCAATATGCCTAAAAGATTGTCCTATCGCTTTTGTTGAAACTTTAAAAATTATTTCATTGGTAAAAACTTTACCAATTACAATTTACAAAGGCATCAAATAAAAGGTTTTTTTTCATTATTTAAAAGAGTTAAGTCATATTTACGCATCACCATGGGTGATGAAAGGCTAAGTGATTGGATGGTACCTACTTAATGTTGAAAAAAAAGAAGTTAACAATATAAATTTAGAAGAAGCTGTAGATAAATTCACTAAACTAAAAAATCGACGATATCCGCTTCTTTAAATTTAAAATATTTTTTTTCTAGCTCTTTGCTTTTTCCAAAATTATAATAATTATGAAAACAAACGACAATTTATTAATGTAGATATTAAGTCCTTTTTTTATTTGCTGCTGCATTAATTCTTCTAGCTTTTTACGAATCAATTATTATTGGTTTTCACTGTTAAGGTAATTCATTATTTATTATATTTTAGTTTCTTAATAAATTGATATTTACTATTTATTTTGACGCAATGATTCCGAATTGATTCGGTCCTTACTCATAATGTATAATGATAATGGAAATAATTGAAAACCGGATAATGTACATATATACGTATGTATATCTATTTTTATATGGCCTAGTGAAATTTCAAAATGGCCTGCTTGAAACCCCGCACACCCGAAAAAAACCTGAAATGACGCCCCTGTGTAATCATGTTAATATTTTACGTTTCATTTCGTTATCGTCGTCAGCCTGCAGTAGACGTGCACGTTCCGTTCTTTGCATTGCTGCTCATAGCGTGTTGTCTAGTCTGTCTTATCTAATAGATTTGTCATCACGGGGAATCATTACATCATGGTCATTATACAAGTTTAATAAAAAAATCAAATCTTTGGTTCAGATGTAATGATCTCACTTCTAATAAAGAAAGATGGCCTAGAGGTGGCAAAGCAGGCACGTAGCTAGGGGGGGCCTGGGTGGGCCGGGCCCACCCTAAATATACTCTGGCCCAGGGCCGGCCCCCCCAAATTCAAAATATAATTATTTTTACCAATTATCAAAAATGTGATTATGCACATTGAGAGAAATCTATTGTGATTACTATTAGGTAATACAATTATTATTGTTATAATTTAATTTTTATATTCGGGGAACCGTGGATAACCTTATCTGAAAAAAATACAATATAATAGGGTCTTGATACCCTTTTTAAAAACAATAATATATTAGCCGCAGTTATAAGTCTATGCTAAGTTAGCTTGCGAAAGAAATTTTTCATGTCTGAGACGACTGAAAACCTTTCTGACGAATCGCATGACAAATGATCGTTTAAATCAGCGTTTCCCAAACTTTTTCTCTGCCGGACCCCTTAGAGAAAATAAAAAAGATCGCGGACCCCTAAATAAAAATTTAAATTAAAGCAATAATAAATAATAATACTAAATTGTTTGCTTTATTTTTAAAATTAAATACACATATGTTTATAATGAAAAATTGAATTAATAAAAAAAATGGATAAATAGATATATTATTTTTATAATAAATAATTAATGCGTTTAATGTGATGGATGGTGTTGTTTCTTTAATACTAAATCTGGTATTTTAGGATCTATATTAGAAAGTTGAATACGTAAATCTGATTCTATATTTAATCGATTTCTATATTTATTTTTAGTGTACACATAAGCTGAAAATCCTTTTTCACAGAGATAAGTTGTTGAAAAAATCATCAATGGCCTTAGGTCTACTACCCAATTTTTATTTTTGTCAGGAACTGGAAAATATTTTCGAAATGAATGTTTCAAAATTTGGAGGTGTTCAATAATTATATCTTTTGTGTCCTGAGGAAAAACTTCATCGGATGATTCTATAAATGCATAAAGAGTTGGAAAGTGGTTAAAATTGTTTTGAAGGGCACGTTTTCTCCATAACTCAAGTTTTTTTAACATAGCTTCAATGTTATCCTCCGTGTGAAAAATATTGTCTTCTTTCCCTTGTAAACTAATATTTAATGAGTTCAGAGAATTAAAAATATCAGCCAAATAGGCCACTGTACAGAGCCATTCAAAATTATTGAAAAGATTTGCATATTTAGTAACTTCCATAGAGTTATTAAAAAAAAACATTCTAATTTCATTTTTTAACTCAAAAACACGTGACACAACTTTACCTCGCGATAACCAGCGTACTTCAGCGTGCAATAGCAACTGCTTGTGTATACTTCCCATATCTTCACAAATTAAATTAAAAATGCGAGAATTCAAAGATCTAGCTTTTATTAAGTTAACTACTTGCACAATATCACGCAAAACTTCATTTAATTTTTCTGGCATATTTTTTGCAGCTAAAGCTTCTCTATGAATACAGCAATGATGCCAAATAATAGACGAATTAATTGTTTTTAAACGAGCTTGCAGGCCTGATCTAGTACCAGACATCGCACGAGCTCCATCTGTGCTAACCGCCACACAATTATTCCATTTTATATCATGACTTATTATAAAACTATTTAATATATTAAATATTGCCTCACCTGTAGTATTGGAAGGTAGAGATATGCAAAATAAAAAATCTTCAGTAATAGTATTATGATTTTCATAACGGACATATGCAAGTAAATTTGCGTCATTGCAAATATCTGTGCTTTCATCTAATTGTAAAGAATAAAATTTACTTGTTTTGATATTTGAAATAAGCTGTTCTTTAATGTTTTCGCGGACCCCCTCCGGTATACGTGCGGACCCCTAGGGGTCCGCGGACCACAGTTTGGGAAACGCTGGTTTAAATAATTTAGCTTCAATGAACATAGAAAAAAAAATTCTAAAAACTTAGATCTAGATATTTTTGTACAATTGTTTTCGGAAAATCATAAAAACAGAAAAATTATTTTATATTGCACTGTTTAATATTTATATAAGTATAAGTGTATTATTAATATTTTCTACTAGTATGTGTTTTTTTTTTTTTTTTAATAAATTTGAGTTTCTTTAAAAAAATATTAATTTAAAAATCGATGATCATTTATCTCTATTATTTTTGATAAGTATTCAAATATGAATTAATTTTTGAAGTTAAACAATTGAAGCAGCTTATTATTTTAAATATGTATGTAGATTTATTTTTCATAGCATGAAAAATGTATCCCATAAGTGAAGATGTAGGTAATTCTAAATTTTTTTTTTTTTTTGTTATCAGGTACCTACTTTCTATTTTTGTAATTCTTAAATAAGTAAGTATTAGGTATAACTTGTTGTGAAAAAAATAATTTTAACCAATTACCAACTAAAGGTAAATTATTTAAATTAATAAGATTCTTTGTATTGCATACCCCTTACAAGAATTTCATAAAGAAAAATTATGGAAAGTAATAAAAGGGCCAAACATTATTGGCCCCCCTAGTAGAAATTTTCTGGCTACGTGCCTGTGGCAAAGACATTTATATGCTAATCCTCGAGAAGCAAAATTAATAAAAATGTATTGAGGTATAAATGATAAAAATTGGTGATATCAAAACAAAAACCCTCCGTCTAACTCCGTGTAAAAATTAGCTAAGTAAAAAAAGAAGAAAAAAAATCAAAATAAAGTCGAGCGTGTAAGAAGTACGCGGGGATGAAGTGAAACTTCTTTCAGTCATACAACTGATATGAGGTTTTGTAATAATAATAATAATAATAATCTTATGTTAATTAATGGTATATATATATTTATGGTATTAATAATGATATATCAAGTAGGTACCTTCTACAAAGTATACATGTAGGTTACTTATATATAATATAAATAATTGTACTTGTACTATTTTCTATTCAAGTATAAAGGAAACATATTGGTACGTTGGTAATGGTAAATATGTAGATGAAATCAAGTATTAATTAAATATTTATTATTATTATTTATTTAATAGTTTAATTAGTATAGTATAGTTTAGTCATACCATTATGCAATTTACCTGCCAGAATTTAATTAAATACATTAAGTTATATTTTGTTTTCTCACCTAAAAACTGTAATACATTAAGTAATACCTACTACCTACCTTTATAATATTATGTGTAGGAACTTAATTTATACTTTTAGACCAATGGACCAAAATATTTACTAATATCAGTATTAATTCATGTCCATAAAATACATTAGTCATATTATGTAGGTACATAATATATATATATCAATTTGTTATTCATAAATTATTACATTTGATATTAAATAAATAAATATACTTGATAGACCATAGACATATATATTGAGTAATATCAAATTATGTCATATCATTATACAATTGAACCATCAGAGTATTATATACTATTTGAAAAATATAGGTGCGTTGGTCATTGTAAATGTGTCAAATATTAACTAAATATTAATTATTATTATTATTATTATTTATTAAATACTTATAGTATAGTCATATAATATGATGAAATTCATCGAGTTATATTTTGAATATACATAATTTGACTCACCTAAAAATAGTATATTATATTATATTATATTATATTATCGCGCACTCTGGAATATTTATTATATATGCGTTTTCGCTTTTATCAACTTGACTACGGAATATTGTTTATACCATGATAAAATAACATGGTATGCTGGCAACTTTATGATACGCATACCCCTTACCCCGCCGACCATCATACAGAGCTGTATCCAGTTCGCCGCTTTTCATTGGTTTTCATGATCAATATATATACATAGTGCATTATGAGGAGAACTGGATACAATGAAATGCGCAAACTCCGACGATATTCAGTTCGTTGCCATCATACCATGTTATTTTATCATGGTTTATACGTTTATACTGGTTTGTTTATAATATCATATGATATGTTTCCAAAAAGATTACAAAATATTGAAACGGAAAATATCAAAAACTTTATAAACAAAACATCGTACCGTTTTCGTGACGCGCGAGCGTCCGTGACGCCCGAGCGTCACTCTCTTTTTTTTCAATACCCCTCACATAAGAAGTTTAACTTCAAAAATAAATCATTGTATAACCAAAACATTTTTCGCTTCATATAGAATTTATAAAACCAGTAATTTCTAAGCACTATAAAGATGTGATATCATAAATAAATGCTAAGTAAACTGAATTTAAGTATATTTAGTCTGTTTCGATTATTTATTTACTTGGCGAGGAAATATTAGTATTAATATAAAGTATACAGTGTTATTTTGGTTGTAGAGTATTATTTTGATTAGTATAGAAATGTTCACTGTAATATTTTTAATTTATAATGTCTTATTGTCTAATTATTCATCCAGCGCCACGGTTCTTATATTGTATCGTATGAAGTAAAAAATTTCCTCGCCAAGTAAATAAATTATCGAAACAGACTAAATATATTTAAATTCAGTTTACTTAGCATTTATTTATGATATCACATCTTTGTAGTGCTTAGAAATTACTGGTTTTATAAATTCTATATGAAGCGAAAAATGTTTTGGTTATACAATGATTTTTTTTTTTGATTTTTTTTCTTCTTTTTTTACTTAGCTAATTTTTACACGGAGTTAGACGGAGGGTTTTTGTTTTGATAATATTATAATACCACTGTTTGATTATCTAACTGTTTTGTTGTTTTGTGTTGTCTTGATTTCATACTTTTTGAAATAACTTGAATGTTGTTTTTCACGAACACGATCATGTAAAATAATATAACGAAGTCCCTCCTACCAGATTATAGTTTGTAAAAAATATAGCAGTATAATGTATCAATGTGTTTTTATGAAAAATAATTGTATATCAAACTGTTGACATCTAAAATGAAGATGGAAAAAAGTTGTTATTTTTTTACAAAATTTAAATTTTCGAACTGACTAACCAATTGATAATTGAATGAACAATTATGGTTAAAGACAACAATTTAAATGTTTACACCAATATTCCACTAACCAGTAACATGTAATATTACGTTATTTTAATTTTCGAATCTTAATAACGATCTACTGAACAATTTTGATATTGTCACACATACAGCCCTTTAATTCCAAACCCATAAATCAAACTATTTTGAACATTTTGTAGGAGAATTAGAAATGATGATTTAAACATTCAGTTCACAAATGACGAAGCTAGGTAATTTTGTAGTGACGCTAAAAACCAAAATCGATTTTGCCGAAAACCAATTTTGCCTAAAAATTCCAGTTTTTCCTTAATTTTTTTGAATGTATCATTATTTTTATTTATAGTTTTTGAAAACTATTAGAAATTTTAAATTTTGACATCTTGAATCACTAAATAGATTCACTTTCCCTAATTTATAAGTAGGTACTAAAATTTAGCCCACAGGAGTGGCACGTATATGCCTTAATATGTATATAATGAATTGTTATTAAATATTATACAAGTAGGTACATTAGTGTCCCAAAACAAATACTATGTAGTCATATAGACAATAATCTTGACTTACAGGTGTACAGAGTAAATATTATTTCTAAAAATAATTAACTAAACTAAACAAGAATACAAGATAATATAGTGGTATGCTATCAACACAACTCACCGCTTTTCATTTAATCAAAATTTGACTGCTCTAAAGGAATATTCGTTTCACGTATCCGTTGTATGATTGACTTTCTTATTCGTCGTTTTTGAATACAATAGCTAGCTTGATGTGCATACTTCGAAAGGCAGGTACCGAACGCCAGAATAGTATTCAAGTCCAATCACGATACATATTATTATCGAACGTTAATCAAAATAAATTACTTTAGAAACTATGAAAAAACATTTAAACTAATTTTAAAATTGCTCGCTAAAAAATTTAATCGACTATGGAAACTAAAACAAATGATGACCGTTGACGGTAGAAAAAAAATGAAAATAGAAACTCATGAATTTGTACGGAATAAAAATATAAACAACTGTCCAATAAAACAGACGATGAAAAAAACAAACATGTGTTGTAGGTACACCTATTGTGGCCAGGACAGTTTTTATA